AGGAATACTGTTCAGTATTACTGTTACCAGTAACAGTATCTGTATTACTGGTAACAGTAATAGTAATGTGCCAACCCTAATAACAAGCGAATTTAGAAAGACATAACGCTCAAATGTCGGGGTCGCTCAAATGTCGGGCGCTCAAATGTCGGGTGCTCATATGTCGGCGCTCAAATGTCGGCGCTCAAATGTCGGGCGCTCAAACGTCGGTTGACGATATATATATATGCTTAGCTTGTACGATTACTATCCATTCAAAAAAGAATGGCACCCGATATTTTTTGAGTGAAAAGTAACTTAACTTTTCAGTGAAAAAAGCTAGACCTTGCGGTTTTCAGCATTCTGGAGATAGCAGTTCGACAGATAGGCCTATGGAAAAATTCGGGCTCCGGATTACGTTTATCATGGTAACCTATTCCAAGCAAAAAGGTTCGAGCTTGCCGCTCCTTGACAAACAATGAATTTTGAATTGTGAGACGTCAGCTAGAACCCGTAGACTGCCCTCTTCCAAGCTATGCACATATCAGGTTGTCTTTTCCAATGGCTGAGGAATTACAGAGATTTTCATGGGACCTACATCGGCTAAACGTCAAGTTTGGAAACTTTCAAAACACATGGAACATAAGTTATCGACCACGCTGAATCTCATGACAACTTTGTGTTTATTTTTTGAAAAGGCTTCGGCAAACTATGAAAACCTACACTAGACAAAATAAACTATTTTTCACTATTTTCACCGAAATTAAAAAATTCATAACTCAGTCAAAATTATTCCTAACTGCTTCAGAATATCAAAATATATTCCATTTTATCTGCTTAATCGTACTGTGTAGTAGAAATTAGTACGAAATGTTCCCTTATTCTCAAAGCTTTGAAGAAGATCTTTCAAGAACCAAAGTCCTTTCTGTTGATTTTTATAACCATTATTGAAGTTCGTGGTGTAGCACAGATAAAATGGAGCATATTCTGATATTTTGAAGCAGTATCGAATAATTCTGACTGAGTTATGAATTTTTTAATTTTCGGTGAAAATAGTGAGATTTATCCAAAAAGAGGATTTATGGAAAAAAGTAAGAAAAAGAGCCGGCGTGGGAGGTCAGATTGGGAGCCATGCTTTTTTTGATAGTAGTTTCTTAACAACTTTGACATCTAAAAATCCAAAAACTCATTTTTGAATAAATGCGTTTGAACCAATTCAATTAGTGACCGTGATTATGCAGACTTGACATTTGTCTGGACCGGTTTCTTGACAAAATCCTTTACAATGTTACGTTTGAATTCTCTTTAAATACTTCATTCTAAATGGAGTAGTTTGATGAAGACCTTCTACCAAGTAGAAAAAGTATGAAGTTTGCATCCTGTGTCGACCTTACTGCATTATGTAATTGTGTGCTTAGGAAGACAATACTGATTGATCGTGCGACCTCTCGGAAAAAAGGTCAACCACTCTGCATGGATCAGTATTCATCTTTATTTTCAACATGTCGCATACCAGATCTACTGACTGATCACATATATCGATCAAACAATAATAAACACATAATTGTATCATTTCAAAATCAATTCTATGCTATGGATGTCCAGAAGGAGTGCAATCAGCAAGTTAATGAAGAAGATTTAGTTGTAGCATTAGAACATATGATCAGAATGGCCGCTGAGCTTAATTCAATAATAGTGACGGATAATGTGGAGGTTGGAATGTTGACTGCACTACCCAGACCAATATGGGCAAATATTCGAAATGAATTAATCAAAGGTAAGTTCAAAAATCAACAAGATAATTATTTGTAAATCGAATATAGAACTGCTATGAATTTCTCTTTTCTTCTTTTTTTTTTTGAATTTCTCTTTTTCTGTTCTATCCTTCTTATCTATTCCCTTCTTTTTATACCATCGTTTGTTCGAATGTCTATTACATTCCTGATGATGCCAACTGAAAGCTGGCGAAAGCTCGAATAAAGTATTTATTCATAGCAGTTCTATATTCGATTTACAAATACTTATTTCCAACTGCTCTACCAACAAATTTCACAACAAGATAATGATTCTTTTTATCAAAAATCGTTATCTGTAATAATCATTAGAGTCACTACTGTAATGGAAAGTTGATATTCTCAGAAAAGAACGTTTGTGTCAGACCGTGTCGTAATATTAAAAGCTCATCTGAATGTTTTTATAAAGTAACGAGCAAAGTAAATACAGCTGACTATCAACCTCCCACAGCTGGAAAATTTCTAGAGACCTGAGTTTCGTAGAACTAGAGTTTGCGAACGTAGTCGATTTCTACATCAGGTAGGCATCACAAAAGATTTTAATTACCATCTGGAAACTACCTACTTTTTATTCGCGCGATTCAAGCCGAGAGACCGCGATGTTCCGATTGTCCATGTTGAAAAACGGTATTCTTGTAAGTTTAACCTGGAAGGCAGACAAAAAGTTTCCCTCAAAGTTTTCGCCTGAGTAGGTAGATGTTTTGCCTAAAAGGATATGCGGCGGTAAGGTAATTTTCCATGTCACACTTTTTTGGCCAAAAAATCACATGGTTGTAATCAGCATCGAATTCTGAACAAAACAGCCCATTCAGTTCTTCCAGAAAAAAGTTTCATTTTTTTCCAAAAATGTTTGCCTTACTCTTGGTCCTTTGGAACGAAATTTTTGGTATCTCAAATTTCAACGAAAGATACATTATTCAACGCAGAATTTCGCGCTGATTATGAATATCGGCTTGATCTAAAACCTTACTAGCATTTACCAGATCACTTTTTTAACTGATGGTATTTCTGACCATCGTTAACTTTTCGTCGTCAGCCGACTACAGATCTGCACGGGTTAAAAAAACGTAACCTGAATCCAACCCAATAAATTTTTACTCTTCTGTTTTGTTCTAAGCTTATGTCCTTTTATTTACCTATTTGTTTAGCGAAGGGAATCATTACAGGCGACCGACCTTTTGCTAATAGTCTGCTAATATTGCAGAAACTTTGAGCGTTATGTCTTTCTAAATTCGCTTGTTATTAGGGTTGGCACATTACTATTACTGTTACCAGTAATACAGATACTGTTACTGGTAACAGTAATACTGAACAGTATTCCTATTACCAGTAACAGTAATACTGGCAGTATTCGTGTTATCAGTAACAATAATATTCATAAAATTAGTATTACTTTTCAGTTAAGTAATACAAGAAAAAAAAATTCAGTAGGGGCGCCGTTATCAACACGAAACCATCATATTATTTCGTATTGATTGTGGCGCTCCCTATTGAATTTTTTTTCTTGTATTACTTTACTGAAAAGTAATACTAATTTCATGAATATTACTGTTACTGGGAACACTAATACTGCTAGTATTACAGTTACTAGTAATAGGAATAGAAGATTATTGTACCGGTAACAGTAATATATACCTTTTAGTATTACTTTCCTCGGTAATGTAATACATGAGTAATAGTAATACTGCCACCCCTACTTGTTATTTAACTTTGCTTCCTAAATGACTTGAGAACGTCCTAAAAAAGACCAGGACAACGCTATCGTTTTTCCGTTAAGATAGATCCTCGCAAGAGTTCTCTAGCTTTTCTTTGTCGCACAGACGGGAAAGCACGCACGTGATAAAGTTAATTATCGTCTTTGTTTTATTTCCGTACCAGAATTGTCAGCGGGAAAGAAAGCACGCACTATCACCTCAGAAGTATTGTCATTGAAAATTGTACGGTTTGGAAAAACCTTGTTTCCTTCAAGAAGAAAAGGCCAATAACAAGCGATTTTAGGAAGATATAACGCTCAAATTCTCTGTAATATTAGCAGACTATTATCAAAAGTACAAAAGAAAATTTCATCTCTTAATTCTTTGTTCTGACTGGGTTACAGAATTATTACTGGGGTACTTCCGCACAGGTCCGCCCACTTTATACACGACTTAAAGCCGAGAGGGTTTGACTATTTGCAATCGATAGTCCTACTAAAGGTGTGTAAAGACCCTTGTTGCCCCATGGAAAAATTATTCCGAACATGGCTTTTCCGAGGCCGTAAGTTCTGAATTGAACCATTTTTAGGAGTGCCCGAGTAGCGAAATTTGACTTTATCTAATAGTATCAAGCGCTCTCATACTGCTAGCTGTAAAGAGCATACAAAGTTGCATATTTTGATCTGCAAATGAGATTTTCGCCACTGACATTCGGAAAGAATTTTTGACTGGAGGACCTTATCCGCATTAGCAGATACCATTGATTTTATGGCATGTTGGACGAGCTCAAAACCTAACAAAACGTAACTTTATTTATATTCAAATGAAAGCGGCTTCCACGTTTGTTCGTTTGACGCAACAATGAAGAAATTCCGTAAAAATCCTCGATTGCTCATAAATATTGAATCCAAACTAGCCTGAAATTCGGATTCAGCATGTCACTTTATGGGTAATTTAGTATCTTTTCCCGTTCCACATCCTAGCCAGATGATAGGATTTTGAAGGGATTTCTAGAAAACCGCCACAAGAAAAACCACCTGGCCAAAGTCCTTGATAATACATCTTACATATATTTGAGAAGCACTGTTGCTCGCTTAAAAATGTTCGCTTTCAAAAAGCGTTAGATTTAGATTCGATGAATTTCGATTCATTGAGATCGATTGAAGAATCTATCTGTGTAATTTGTTTGGATAAATGGAAGATTGATGAAAACACTCCAGGCGATAGTCGCGATCAGGTTTCTATGGCTGAACAAATACTTTACGGTGGAAAAGATATGGTTAATTCTTCTAATCGCTGGTATGACAAAACTACACAGGTACTTTAAAAAAAGAAAAGCTTGAATCACAAATCTTATAATTACACTTCTAGTTTATTGTAAGCTCAGATGGTGTCTGGGGTATGAACACTGAAATTTCATCAGTTGATGGTATAGTTATAAATAGATTAGTAGAGGATTTAATTCATTACACGTGAGTTTATCAAATCAATTTTGTTCTTGTATGATGATGTATTTTTGATACTGGATCTGTCCTCTTAGACTTAAATCTCAAAAAAGAACTTAACAAATCTTAAAGAAACAAAGTAAAAGTATTTTTGGTTTATAGCAAAAGTCGGTTATTAAATTCTAGCTGTTAGCTACTTAGTATTACGAAGAGTAGCGTCGGATACGACATAAAGATTGCCGACAAAGCAATGATGTCGATTTTGCCTGTGCTCCTATGTTGACATTTTATAATCTATAAAATATATTTTCTTGATCAGAATTTCGTTCAACAATCTGCTTGGCTGTTAGTTAGTTACTGTTCCATAGTACCGACTTATTAGTACTGAGTAGTAAACATATGCTATTATGTGGCAGATACAGAAATAAGTCTAATACGAAAAAGATGCAGTTCGCATAAGACTTGAAATCGGTTCACTAACTTTTACCGGTTCAAAGAGGGCAAAACTCATCAGAATCATATTCGATGATTTTTACCCTTCCGAGCACTTTCAGTGGAACATACCAGACAGAATCTACTTGAAAACCAGTTTGCACTAGCAGTATGAATCTAACATCAAAATTTCTCTGCAACTGTCCAATATTTGCCCTAGCGTAATACATCATTCGATGCGTCTTGGAAAGCTCTACAATAGGTGCTAATAGGAAACTTAGCGAAACCTGGCAGGGTCCTTGATGAATCAAATACTAGACTTTAACAGAGGTGGCCACTATGCCAACGGCATCCCTGCTCACTTTTTTCTATGAAATTAAAAGATTTTGTTTTTTTTAAAGTTTTTTTTTCTATGAATATAAGAGGATCTTTAATCATTCATACATCATTCGATGCGCCTTGAAAAAATTGACAATATGTGCCAATAGGAAACTTAACGAAGCTTTGCAGCTCAGAAATCTTGATGTTAGAGTCATACTGTTGGTGCTAAGTGGTTGCTTGTTTTCGAGCAGATTCTGTCAGGTATGTTCGGCTGAAAGCGCTCGTAAGGGCCGAATCGTCGAATACGATGATCGAATATCATTCTGATGAGTTTTGTACCCATTGGAGCGGTAAAAGTTAGTGGGCCGATTTCAAGTTTCATGCAGACTGCACCTTTTTACAAACACTCTTACGACCATAAACTAGCCAGCAGATTAAAGTGTTACATGAAAATAAATCAACTATTTGAACTCTTCTGGCAGCACTTCCTACCTCTTAGTTGGATGGTTTAGGAATAAATTTAAATGCATCAAAAAGTAAAATACAAACGACATTTCTTTTTTTTAGTAGAGATGTGAAATCGAATTGTTTGAAAATCAGATAAGAAATGATTAAAGTGTTTTCTATATTGATTATACTCTTTCTGGTCTTGCTACACACTTTTGCCGACAGTTTGGGTTTCCTAAATTATGATTCATTTATCATAGCATAAAACACTTTATTTAGTGGACAATAAATTAACAGCGTAGTTCTTAATTTTAGAAATAACAACCAAAGCAGCCAACAATCCTTTCAATCTACATCAATGCTTAAACCACGCCGATTAAAGTGGAATATTAACGCATATGTAGCAGATCAAATAAAAATGGCAAAATATTTCTTATCAGGGTAAAAATATTTAACTTGTTTTTCTCAGTAATAGATTTCTAACCCAACGTAAAGATCAAATGACCTGTCAATCAGTGCAGGAGTGTAACCGGTATCAAAAATGCGATACACGCTTTTTTTCGAAAACGGCAATCCAATTCAATCTTTTAAATTAAGAAGTTTATATAAGCTCACAAAGCTTAAGTAATTGGAATGAAATTTTAGTGAAAGAAATATGTCACAGATGAACTGAATTTACACCATGTTCTTTGCATTAGTGTGGACAAAGTGTCTAAAGACGAATTGACGAATCGCAATATTTGAGTGCAAAAATGATACAATAATTCGCATTTTACCATTGTTTTAGGAATTCGCAGCGAATTCGTACTTCAGTGCGAACGGATAAGAACTGACAAAAAAATCGAAAAAAATCATACCATATCACAAAATACCAGCAATACCGGCCGACTGATTATACTTCATACTAATGTCGGTATACCAGTCGGTACCGGTATACCGATACCGTTTGCACCTCTGTCATGGACTCTGTAAAAGTAGTCCAATCCAGTCCACAATACTAAAACAACCTGTTTTTTGACTGAGTTTTCCTTGATTTAAGTAAATTCAAAATGCTTTTTCTAGTCCATACTAGTCTGTAGCCTTGAAAGTTTGAGTCAGCCCAGTCCATACGGCGCTCTGACGCTCACTTCAACAAAAGATCATGAAAAATAAGTATTCAAAATAACTGCAATTTTGTTCAGCATACCGGCAATATCCATAAATGGACGGAAAAGATTTTAGACCAAAAAATAATGGTCGTCACTCTAATAAATAGTAGTGGTTCATCATCTATAAATAATTAAAATCGAAATATCTACCCTAACTTAGGAACAAACGTCGATATGTCTTAATTTTGTAGAATTGTCCTGTTACCCTGACAAACGTTTACATAAATCCGTTGTACAATTTTCTCCTAGACTAAAAGTCTACAATCATATGAAAAGGGCAGGTCCGAAAAAAGTTATGTCCCCTCACACTATCCTTCTCCTTGACCAGAGTAATGGATCATAGCAAAAACAAACATCGGAAACATATTCACGATTTCGATAATATAACATCAATTTGTCATTTCTCGGAGTGTGTGCTTGCGAAGGCAGACAGAACTGAAGTCTACATTGTGTTCTTTTTCCTTTTATTGTTAGCTTTACCTCAGCTAACAGAGACTGAATCGGGTTTTAGGTGGATGACCCGAACTTGACCCGACGCGAATCAATATTTTCTATGTGAGGCCGAACCGGACTCGACCCGAAGGCTTTTCTACCCGACCCGAAGCAGAGCGAAATTTTCGAACCTTGACCCAAATGACCTAAAAATTTTCTTAGGTGACCTAATAAATTTTTCTGGGAAAAAAGCAGAAGTCTACAGCTTTTGCAATAGCCTAGAACGCTTCTCTAATTTTTTGTCCAAGTGGTAGTTCATTCGACTTGTGATAACCCGAAACAGGAAATCGTTTTTCTCGCTCGTATATTTTCATGAAGTTTAATCGTCATAATGTGACGCATATTTAAGGCGTTCGTTTTTCTGGATTTACTTATGTTTTCTTTTTTCTTTCTTTGCTTCAACAGTGCGATACTGTGCAATGTACAGTGTACAGTACACAGCGTCAAAGCAGAAAGGAAAAAACACTGTACTTCTTTTTCAGATATAAAAGGTGCATGTTGAAAAATAGATGAGTGAACCGCAACCGAAGAAAATTCCCTGATTTATTGCCGACCAGTCTACCGGCACTAGTATGAAGTATAATCAGTCGGCTGGTATTTTGCGGTATGATACGAAAAATGCGATGTGTCGACAAAGTGTCTAAAGACGAATTGACGAATCGCAATTTTTAACCGTAAAAATGATGCCAAAATTTTACGCTTATTTTGAAAATTCGCAGCGAATTGATACGAACTGTATCGAATTCGTACGGATATACTCCTAAAAACTTTTACGAATCCGTAAACATCCGAATAGATCAGACACGATGCTGATCAATTCGCAAATAATTCGTAAAATTAGTTTACGAATTAGTGTTCACTGCTTTTAGACCTAGATTAATTCGTACATTAACTGATCCGTTCGTATTACGAACTGATCCGACGGTTGAAAATGGATACTTTTTTTTGACAGTTCTCATCCGTTCGCACTGAAGTACGAATTCGCTGCGAATTCCTAAAACAATGGTAAAATGCGAATTATTGTATCATTTTTGCACTCAAATATTGCGATTCGTCAATTCGTCTTTAGACACTTTGTCCACACTAATGCAAAGAACATGGTGTAAATTCAGTTCATCTGTGACATATTTCTTTCACTAAAATTTCATTCCAATTACTTAAGCTTTGTGAGCTTATATAAACTTCTTAATTTAAAAGATTGAATTGGATTGCTGTTTTCGAAAAAAAGCGTGTAAAAAATCAGCTATACACAATCAAAGTGAAAAGATTATCCCTTTGATAACATAAAATAAAGTTCGCAGTAAAGAAAAACAAGGAAAAAGTATTTGTATTTAGACAAAATATGATCAAGACAAGCCGGTACCTACCGAGAAGCCGGTCACCAGTATACCGGCCGGTACTGATAGGAATTTTGTATACCGGTAGAGTACCGGTATCGCATTTTTGATACCGGTTACGCCCCTTGTCCATGGACTAAAAACACTGTGTTTTGGACTAAGAATTTTGAGTCCATACGGAGTCCTGGTGAGTGTTTGAAAAAAGTCGAGTTTTGATTTCGGTCCAACTCCGTATATATAATTCAGTATGCCGAGTAAGACTACGTCCGGCTCACAACTCAAAGAAATGTTTTCTGAAAGTTAGACGTATACATCACTCCACCCTTCATACCGAGTTTCAGACAGAGCTAAACAAATTATAAAGCACTTACACTGCAAGCATAAGCGGCAAAAAATGAAGAATGCTCGACCATTCATATGTGATTTGATCTGAAAGATGTTTTTTTCGAAGAGCCATATATTTGAGTAAGACACGGCTGCTTAATGATCAAAAGTAGGAGGCAAAAACTTAAAATTTAGGTTTAGGAGAAGAAGTACATTTTTAAAATATTTCTGTTCTAAACGCTACACGCAGAATCATGTCAAAGTCTTGATTACTTTGTTTTGTAGAGCTACCCTCTCGGCATCCGAAAGATGTACAATACAGAGTTTTAAATGATCAGGCTTCCATTTTTTGAAAAAGCTTATGTTATCCTGCAAGAGCCCAGTAACATGTTTGAAGACGCTTGTATTATTGAAGACGTCGGTATATTTTCGAATCATGGAAGTACGCCAATATGACTTTCGCAACTGTCCAAGGGCCACTGGACTTTTGCCAATTGGCGAGCGCTCATTGGCCTATATCACTGACCACGTTATAACTGAATGTTTGATACATTACAAGCTTAAATATTCGTCTCTTTCTCTCTCATCATACAACAGGTCTAATCTCACATACTAATTTGCAATTTAACTTAATAAAAAACGTGACACTATTACTTTTCTATATGAAGCTCTCATACTCATTGGTTAAAATTCAAAAATGTAGAATACCGGTGTGTTTTTCGATTGATCTTCTTGTCTGAGTAAACTTCTGACTTTTTTTTTGAAACTCTTGTCTGAGTAAGAGATTCCTTTTCTCCTAATTCTCAAGTTTTTCTAACAAACTTTATGCAAATGCTGTAGACTTCTAACAAAGCCCCATTATTTTAATTGTTTTAGTGTAATTAAACCATTTGATATACATATATTTCATTTTCATGATTATGGAGATAAATTGCTGAAATTGTATAACGTTAGTCCGGATGTATTTGTTCAAATTAGTCTCCACTTTACATATTATAAGTAAGATATTTAGTTTTGTTTTATAAAATTACAGTTACATACTGTTTTTAGATTAAATCAGTGCTTATGTGTATCGTATGAGCCAGTATCAACAAGACGCTTTCATCTGGGTCGCACTGATGCGCTAAAGTCAAATATACCTGAAACATTAAATTGGATCAAAGCCATGATGGATAAAAACGGCAATGTAAGAGAAATTACGTTTGGATAATGCTTTATTCATGAGTCAGAATAATTCATCCTAATTTGCGCTATTAGTAAGAAATAAGATAAATCAGCCTCACATTTTAATTTCTGGTTAATAAATGGGAGTATTAATGTCTCAATGCTCTTTTAATAAAACTGTGCATAACATTAAAACATAGAACCGCCTAATAGTCTACACTCTAAAAAAAAGTTGTTCATCAGGTTTTCAAAGAACAGAAAAATCAATGGAAATTTTGTTTTTCATTTGTCCCAAATAGGGAACTCAAATTCTGTTCTTCAGCTCTCAAGAACTCAAAATTTGTTTTCCGGTTTTTGAAAAACTGATTTGTTTTGTTCTTTGGGAAATGAAAAACAAATTCTGAGTTCTTGAGAGTTGAAGAAAAAATTTGAGTTCCCTATTTGGGACAAATGAAAAACAAAATTTCCATTGATTTTTCTGTTCTTTGAAAACCTGATAACAACTTTTTTTTAGAGTGTAGTAGTAGCACATTAGCTTGAAAATTTTACTATAAATAGTGTGCGGTGGGCGTTGGGGAGGGGGGGACGGCGAAATTTGTGGAAAAGTCGTACTATGCATAACATATCAAATTACGAAAATAATTTTTGTTCCATACTTTTTCACTTCCTCTCTGTTTATTTTGCTTTTAACTTTCTCATATTAAATTCACCTGATGCATTCTGATTAGTGTTTATACATAGAGAACAACACAAGTATGGCCAGTAAATCTCTAAAACTCCATCTGACCATCACGATCCGAAGAAAAAGCCGGAAACTCATGGTAGTCAAAAAGAGTTTATCTAGATGCTCAACATAAAAGAAGAAAGTATGATTTATTAAACGTTAATCAACAGTATTGAGAGCCACATATCTCACAAACTAAATGCAATCTTTTTCTGAAAAATACTTTAGTATATAGTACAACTTGTGTACTTCAAGCGAATATAAGAAGTGGAAATGAATTCTCTCTAATTAATTTAATTTTAATTGGCAAAGTTGGTAGAATAGCGGATGAGCAGTCCCTAGTGATATTCTCGTTCCTTTCTTGCTGAGATGTAATCGCGAACTCGATTTATTCCCGTGTGACGAAAAAATGCTGATCTTGACAAAATAAAGTCGCGATCTTATAATTGGAATCGCGTTCTTGAACAAGTTCGTTATGCGATCCCGTTTCATTTGTGTCTCAAGACAGTGACGGGGGCGCGGCAGGATCGCATCTAATATAGCAAGATCGTGTCTAATTCGAGACAAGACCTTGAGAAGATTTTCCTTTGCCTACCGTTCAGGAAAATTTTTTATTATTATATTATTCTGTTCCTTAAACTATCAAAGTACAAAATCAATCCTTGCACGAAACTAGAATCGTACTTACTTCGTATTTTTCTTTATCTCAGTCTGTAACGATGTAATATTTTTTTATTTCGTCCATCCGTCGATAGAAGAAGAAAAACAGACAGATAGTGTGCGTATATCCACTGTGTTTATTCTTTGTTCTCTCTTAAGACATGTGTAATAGATATACAATACAAGTCAATTATGGTCATTTCTTAATTTTTTGACGCAGTGTAACGGGTGTTTTTCTCCGAGTGTTTTTTGGGTTTTGTTGTAGTTAATGAAAATAGACTAACTGTTTGACTCTTATCATCAGTAAGTAAACAACAATTTTCGAGAGAGAAGAGCATTCGGAGAGGAAAATTAATTTTTTTGTCTCAAAGTTGAACTATTTTCTTGTTGACAGTTTTAGAATTAGTAGAAGAGAATATTCTTCGGACAATGAATCCAATCTAAAGTCTTCTCCGGTATGTAGGTTCAGTTAAACATGTTGACTGTGCAGAGATCTCAGAATGAAAAGTCACAACAGTGAGAGAAATGCACAAGGTTGAAATATCACAAATTGTGGGTTACCTCGGTGTAAGATCGCTTTGCCGTTAGAGTCTTTCAGAATGTAGCAACGTTCATTTTGATCCTGTTTGATGCACAGAGGATGGCGGCACAGCCATCCTGGAAGTTCACGAGTGAATGTTTTCTTCACATACGGCAAACCATCAGCTGATAAAGTACATGACGTTTTCGTACCATATTTTGTAGCTGTGGATGTAAATAATACATTTATTTGAAATTGGAAAAACGTCGAGGAAAAGGTCGTCCGAAAAAAGTAAGATATCCATTATCAAACGACTGACATCATTATTAGGATTATTACTATCATCGCCATCATCGTATAATATCTCTGTTTCTGTGTTTATGCTTATTTGTTACAAATTCTAATAAACTTGCGTTGATTCCTCATGGTGTTTGTATTTGTTGAAAGTTTTTGTAAATAGACGAAAAATGAAATTTCTTATTTATTAGTTTTAAAATAGTAAAAATGACCACAAGAATAATCTATATTAGGCCTAATTAATCTATGACAACAAGCATAGCGTTATGTTAGTTATAAACTCGTGTGCAAAAAACAACCGAGATCTCTTCCATGCTTTTCATCCAATTAACTGAATTGAGATCTATTACATATTTTTCTCGAGATCCATTCCATGATTTTGAAATAAAAAAAGTTAGTTTTAAAAATCGAGATCTTTTCCTTGCTTTTTTATACAACTAAGTCAATCGAGATCTAATCCACGATATGTCCGAGATCTTTTAAATTCTTGTCCAAAGGAATTGTTGCTTTATCTACATCTGTTTCATGTTCAGTTGTACGATTTGCTTGCCTAATACTCTTCCCGACATCTTTAACCTAACAACCTTTACAATTACTTTTATACATTACGCGAGATAATTGTTTGATATCCAGGTGATCTCTATTCGGGAAAAAACATTTCATTGTATTTAGCGTTTTATGGAGTACTCTGAGAGTAATTTTAGAGTTGCTGTTAGTAACTATCCTCGTCATCTGTCGATCAAAATCGTGATTAGGTTTTCGGGATCTCGGCATAGCGGAGTTTTGTATGTTGTTCGATTTTATTTTATTTTCGATCATCACCTGAATTATTAATATTTTTCTCATACAAACAAATTAAAATCGATAAAAACAGTGAACGTTTCTATGATGAGATCTCTTATGTCGGGATTAAGGATGTAGCCGTAGCGATTTTCATTCTCAACTTTCAACTGTAATTCATTTATCATCCGTTGCTGATGCCGTTGAGCGTTTAGAACGTCCGCCGATCAGATGCAGCTGACAGTTCAAAACGTCAATGGCAAAACCGACGCCTTTCTCGTTCAAATTTTTGCCAAACCACCATGAACGGCTATAGCCCTAGTCAGAATAGACAGGTCGCTCGATCGCTTTCAATAATATTAAAATATTGGCTCGGGACAGTAGACCCTATCGGTTGTTGGTTAGAGGCTCCTTGGCTATCTGTTGTATTTCCTCAGTTCAATGGGACAGACCACTCGATGTCGCTATACGTTTTCCTGGAAAGTTTTTAGAGCAAAGCGACATACGAGGAGACAAAGAAGGATGAGAGCGGCTGGATTTTCTTTTTCTCTTGTCATATTTTTTGTCGATTTATATAGAACAGAAAAGATTGAACAATAAAATTGTATATATATATTGTACAGAATAGTTCATATTTTCGTTTCCACACCAATTTGTAGTCTGTTTATTTTAATTTATTATACGGATGATGGATTCGATTATACGGATCGTAGATTCGAAACGTTTACGTTATTTTATTATTTTAATTAATTAATAAAACGTAATACACTGCTAAAATTATGCAAATTTCTGTATCTTTTTGCAAATTAACACTCCCATTTATTGATTAGCAAAAACATAGTGGTTCATACTTATAAACTAGATAACTCAAGAAAAGTTGTGGGATCCCTACCGGTCTCATTCGAATCATATGTCATGTATAACACTCACCAAATAAACTTTTTTTCAGCAAACCGAAAAACGTATCTTGTTGAGAAAAGCAATAAAAGCTAACACAGATTTACTGATCGAAGTGAGTATAGCTTTATACTTGAGTAAAACAAAACTAACACAGACTGACAAGTAGCGTTCATCATACTGATTCACTTAGCCCTTGACCGGAAAGGAATCACCAATATCAGTCGCTTGCTTCGACGTGCATTCCCTAACTGGCTGAACTTCTGACCTTCTTCTGACCGAAGCAGTTTTTTCTTATTGAATCACTTAGCATGAGCTGGAGCTATTTTCGTTATACATCTCACAGACATGATGCTTACCCTATCTCACGTAATTACTAACTGGAAATTCAACTCTAAACCACACATTTCTGTCTTGATCGGCGATCTGCGACTTTCTTTACTATTAGCTATCACTCTCATTTCGAAGACCAATAATAAGATTAGATCGGCAACACCAAAACTAATTTCGAAAGAAAAAAGCCGTATTTACGATTCAGTAATTGGAGCCACTTTTTACACCACTGCTTGTCTCACTGCGTTATTACTACTGATGCCCCAACAAAATGTACGGGTTTCCCCACACCTACCCTCATTTTCCCTTTGTTTCTCAGAAGTTTCCGCTGGGCACACAACACTATGTGCTCACTACTCTCGTGTGTCAGACGTAGATAAGTGCGTCCATCTGACCGCTAATAATCTGTGTGTCGCTAGTATCTATACTGCGGACATACATACAACTCAAGAACACCCTTTCCGGTACTGTCAAGGGAATACTATTTATATCCAATCAAGTTGAAATGCAATTTCCGACCAACAGAATCCATCATAGAGGTCTCTCATAGTCATTTTCAGATTTCTTGCAGTTGACTCGTCTGCACTAGCTCGATTCCGTGATTTAAGGAACTTAAATCTGACCAGCTTTGATGACTACTTGCTTTTAAGACAACGCTCACACCTCCCTTCGGTCGGCGTTCGCTACAGGCCTATCCGTAAATGTGCGTATCTACGTCTGCCAAACTAATGTTTTCCGCTGCTAAGCAGCATCATCTATCACTCTGCATATCTAACGATCACGCTGCTTATCTATTAGATAATCCTCCCCAATACTAGTTGTTTCGACAAACTGACATACTCATGGACATTTAACGCTTGCAGGACTCTCCCGTCCGGTGGAGAGAATTTTCATGCAATTAAGCGGGAATAAAGTTTTCAACTAACAGAAGCCACCGTAGATGTCGCTCATACTCATTTTCTGATTCCTTATGGTTGACTACCTACTCCATATCATTTTCATCCATTCAAGGGGAGACGATGCTTTCGACCAACAGGATTCACCGCAGAGGTCGCTCATACTCATTTTCCGATTCTCCATACTCGACTACCTACTCCATATCATTTTGATCCATTCAAGTTTTGCGCTGCTGGTTTGTGTATCGCTAGCATCTAGTTTGCGGACCTACATACATACAAATATGCAAACATACAGGCATTTTAACTCGATAAGACCCTTTCCTTTACAGTCAGAGAAAAGTACGATTTTGTGAAGTTAGATAATTGTACAGCTTATAAACAAGCGATTTATTTCTTTTACTCTAAAAATGTATGGAGAATCAGTA